TGAAAGGCGCACTCGAAAGGCAACAACGATAATTTGATGTGAAGGTAGCCACATTGATGGCGGAAATAAACTTAATAAAAATCAAAACTCCAGATATCAAAACATATCAGGAGATTGCACCAGGAATAGAATGTACCAAACCGCTAGATATAGTAAAATCCGTCCCAGAATTTGAAGGGAAGCAGGAGAATTACGTCTCCTGGAGGCAAGCTGCCACAGCAGCATACAGGGTATTCGAGCCTTACGAGGGCAGCAGTCGATTCTATCAAGCAGTCGCAATCCTCAGAAACAAAATAAGAGGACCAGCGTCCGCTGCATTGTCTTCATATAATACATTTTTAAATTTTCATGCCATACTGGCACGTTTAGATTTCACGTATGTGGACAAAACTCCGACACATGTAATTCAACAAGAATTAAGTTTATTAAGGCAAGGAGATTTACCCTTACTTAAATACTACGATTAAGTAAAACGGAAGGTAACGATTTTAACAAAAAAAATTATTATGACCCACGAGGCTAACGCAGCAGCCGTTCTGAACCAAAAATTCAGAAACGACGCCCTGCATGCGTTCATATCCGGCCTAAAAAATCATTAAAGATGGCCGTATTTCCCGCGCAACCACAAGATTTGCCATCGGCATTGGCTTTGGCCCAAGAAGCCGAATCGAGCAACGAAAGAAGTGTTTTTGTGGCTAGTTTTCTCGACACAGCGGGGAAAAAGTAAGTAAACCAAACAACCAGCGACAAGCGAGTTGGAAGAATTGGTTCACAGACCAAGAACAAAGTCGAAATTTGGGGGCAAAGACACCTTACTTTGCCAGACCTCAAAAAGGAGGCAATAATCAACCCGGTTCTTTTAAACAAAGACCATATAGTAATACGGAAACAAACAAGGGCGGAACCAATGGATGTGGATACCTCATCCCGTTTTAGACAGCCTTCGGCATGGGTAGCAGGGCAATCGACAAGGACCCAACAGAAAATCAACTTCATGCCCGAGGAACAGTCCGACGAAGAAGACTACGATTCCGTTGCGCAAGCATGCACCACAGAAATAGAGGATATCCTGGATGCAGAGGACTCTATTAATTTTGTAGGGTAAAGTCCCACCTCCCGTACATTACGCGTACGCTGGCAGGAAGGGAAATAAAGCTTTTAATCGATACAGGTACCTCAAAAAATTATATTACTCCACTCCCGGGGCTGAAATGCGTCGTGGCTGTGGACACTCCATATAACGTAAAGTCAATCCACGGCATTACGAAAATCGAGAAGAAATTTTTTACTTCCATATTTAATATTAAATCACCATTTTTCGTTCTCAAAGTTCTGAAAGATTTTGACGGTATTATCGGTCTCGACTTTCTTAAACAAGTGAATGCGAAACTCGATTTTACTGAAAATATTTTCCACACTAATAATGGATCCGAAAAGATCCAGTTCGCTAAGGTAGAAAATGTCAACTTTATTAGTAAGAGTAAAAGCTGCCTATGACAAAATGATAGGGGAAAATTACAAAGCCTTCGCTGTTCGAAGCACTTCCTTTCAAGCCGGTGCCGGTGGAGCCGGTGGAGCCCCACCGCGGAGCCGGTGTACTCAAAGTCGTACCCGCACCCCATGATGTAACTGAGTTCGTCAACGCAGAGGTTAACCAACTTCTAGCGGACGCCGTAATAAGGCCATCCAAGTCTCTTTATAATAACCCAACGTGGGTTGTTGACAAAAAAGGAACCGACCAGAACGGAGTCAAGAAGAAGCGACTCGTTATTGACTTTAGAAAACTAAACGAAAAACCCGTAGACGATAGATACCCTATCCCTGCGATTACGACAATATTGTCGAACCTGGGCAAGTCAAAGTTTTTTACAACACTCGACCTTAAAGCCGGCTTCCACCAAATAGAGATGACAGAAAGAGGCCGACAGAAGACGGCTTTCTTAATAAATAATGGTAAATACAAATTCTGTAGATCGCCATTTCGACTAAAAAATGCTCCGAGCATTTTCCAAAGAGCTATCGATGATGTCCTACGAGATGGTCGACGATGTCATAATATACTCAAAGACGAAAGAGGACCATCTTAATGACATAAGATGGGTCCTAGGAAAACTTTTCGAAGCAGGTATTAGAGTATCTCAAAAAAAATCAAAGTTCTTCAAAAAGAGCGTTGAATACTTGGAATTCATACAGCGATTGCAAGGCCTCTTACTAGCATTCTTAAAGGCGAAAACGGTAAGATAATCAAATAACAATCAAGAAAAATAAGCATTGAAATGAACAAGGAACAGATGGAAACACTATACAGACTAAGAGAAATCCTAGCATCAGAAGATGTTTTACTTTCCTACCCAGACTATAAGAAACTGTTCGATTTAACAACGGACGCGTCAGGTTTTGGTCTAGGGGCGGTTCTATCGCAAGGTGGTCGCCCAATTACAATAATATCACGCACTCTGCGTGATAACGAAAAGAACTATGCAACCAACGAGCGGGAACCCCTCGCCATAGTCTGGGCACTACAAAACCTCCACAATTATTTGTATGGAGCAAACAATTTACAGATCTTCACCGACCACCAGCCACTCACTTACGCCGTCTCTGATAAATATCCTAACGCTAAACTAAAGCGCTGGAAAGAAATTATTGACGACCATGGTGCAAAAGTGATTTATACACCTGGCAAAGAAAACTTTGTCGCTGACGCGTTGTCCTGTTGTCAAAACGTTAACGCTTCAGAGGAAGAACAGGACTCCAATGTGGCTACCATACATAGCGAGGAATCGCTTACGTATACCATAGCTTCAACGGACACCCCGTTTAACTGTTTCAGGAATCAAATAATAATTAAAGAGAGTAACAGCTCGTCCGTAGACACGTTCATTCTGTTTAAAAGCAAAGTTAGACACATAGTAAAAATAAATGACCGCGGTAACCCACTGAATACCTTGCAAGAGGTGGTTAATGCCAAAAACGCAAATAGCGATGCAAAATTGTTTTCCAAAAGCGAAAACGATCTACTGCGATAACGAGAAATCCCTAAATTACGAGACCTAAAATCCATTCTCCTGAACAACTATAACATTACCGTTTCTAACGTACCACCTCTACACAGCACCTCAAACGGCCAAGTAGAGAGATTTCATAGCACCCTGGCCGAAATAGCACGATGTTTGAAGCTAGAGAACAATCTAATTGACACCACCGAAATAATTCTTCTTGCAACTAATAAATACAATAAATTCATTCACTTGGTGACTAACGAAAAACCCATAGACATTTTACACTCAAAATCTGCGGAATTCGAGGCAGAAATTAGCAAAAAAATTCAACAGGCTCAGGAGAACCCCACGAACACGTAAACAAAGATATGACTCATAAAACTTACCAAGTGAGCGATTAGGTTTTCCTGAAAGCAAACAAACGCCTGGGGAATAAGCTTACACTACTATGCTCAGAAGGGGTTATTGATGCAGACCTGGGGACCACGGTCCTTATTAAAGGGAGGGTGGTCCACAAGGACAATCTACGTTAATCGTCCTCACAAGATTTAGACCTACCCCTTTGTTCCTTTCTTAATTCTTTCTAGGTTACAGAAATATTTTTTAATATCATAAAAACGGCTATTAGGACGGACGCGACATTAAGACAAAACGATTACACGAACGCGGACTATATCCCGATAAAAGACAATGACATTGTAATCTGGGAGAATTACGGATACCTACAGCACGCAACGAACATGACGACCTACGAAGACTACGCCGACAAGACAGAAGCAATGACGAAGACATTCACAGAAGACCACAGAACACCGCTCAAGGTTATTGCAGGTATGCCTGACTTTAATGATTGGGAGCAGGTAAGATTTAATCAGAACCGGTTAATGAAGGCGGATGAAGGTCAGACAGAATTAAATATAAAATTTCAAGAACGTCTCGCTAACGCAATGAATCAGTTTCAGAAATACGAAACAAATAAAGAAACACACTTGTTAGAAATTATTTTAACAAAGAATAGAATCATCATTACAGACCTAGAAAACATCCTTATGGGCCAAACCCTAGCAAAATTAAAAATTTTAAGCCCAGCTATTTCAGATGGTGCCGACGTAAGCGAATTCAGAGACAAACAGCCTATTAATATTAATTAACGGAACCTCAATATCGGTGACTGAAAGACAACGGTAGGTGCCGCGTTCTGCAAGGAACTAAAAAACGGCACTTGTGCTCAACAGATAGTTTTTGGGGCCACCGCGCACTGCTCCACGCTCCCTGGTTATCTAGATCCAATCACCATTGTGGACCACGAAACCCTTATCATCAACGATGCCAACATAACTGACGACCAAGGCCGGGAACAAAACTATGCGCAATCCTGTGCATTGGCAAATATCACCTGAAGGCCAATCACCGCAAGAAATCGAGAGCCGACGACGATGTAGAACGAGTGGGCCCCTGGGACGACGACCATTTAAAGGAGGGAGGAGTTAACACGCGCAGGCAGAATTTAGGAAAAGCGCCCAATTGCACACAGGATCCGGTGGCCCGCACTCGTAACTAAAGAGGTGCTGACTACGTAATCCAAGGGCATTTGTCCGCGGACCGGCTCGGGCCCTTGCGCAACAAGTGATCGTTGCTGGCCGGATAAGGAATGCTGACACTGCAACTGGTCAACTGCGCCGCAGCCCAAGGAAGGCTTCGAAGTACAGCCCGGGTAGTATTTTAGTTCAGTCTTAAGTAGAACTCCGCAGCCTTATCTCGCGTTATATTTTATTCTATATTTGTCAGTAAAAAGCCTAACGGGCTTGTGCGAAACAAATTATCAATAAATATTACTTGTACTTTTTCCTTCACCATATCATAGAAAAATTTGTGACCAAATACAACTTAAGAATAAAATCGGTAAAGGTAACGATTAAATGGTAATATTGTGAACAGTTTCTGTGACAAGGGAAAATAATAATCAACAAAATATTTAAATTGTATCTTCATACATACAGCTCTAAAAAACTGTTTTACGAAATCTGGGTTAGTGTCAACTATTATTTTGTAAATTTCCTTTTGACGAATTGCTCGCAATACTTTTCGGTATGATTCCGGGTTGGCTTGCCTTATATACATTTCAGTTTTCGTCTCACTTGTGGAGTGCATCAGATTAAATAGGCCTTTAAGAAAAATAATTAATTCATGAAGCAAAGTATTAAAATATGCAGTAATATAATTTATTGTAATAATATTAATATATTAATATTATTTTAATTCTTAATTTAATTCCTTATTTTATTTTATTTTTTAATTTTTTCTTATAGTAATACAATTTTTGGGTGAGGCAGCAGCTGCCGCAGCGCTGCCGGCACACTGACAGTGTGAGCACTTTCAAATTTTTTTAGAAGCTCTCTCATTTGCTCTTATTTTGACTCATTTGACAGCCCAAACTTCAAAATCAAAATCTTTCCACTAAGCACAATTTTCTTAGAAAATGGGTTGGAAAAAGTTTTCTCCATAGAAAATATAGAAAGGAAAACGTAATTATACCCTTGCAAAGGGTATTATAATTTTGGTCAAAAGTGTGCAACGCAGTGAAGGAGACATCTCCGACCCTATAAAGTATATATATTCTTGATCAGGATCACCTCCTGAGTTGATATGAGCATGTCCGTCTGTCTGTTTCTACGCGAACTAGTCTCTTAGTTTTAAAGCTATCGTCTTGAAACTTTGCACACACCCTTCTTTCCTTTGCACGCAGTATATAAGTCGGAACTGCCGGGATCATCCGACTATATCCTATAGCTGATTGATCGGAAATGGTATAACTTTGGTGTTTTTAGAGTTAGAGAGTTCAAATTTGCATGAGAGCTATTTTTGGCAAAACATTACGTCATGCCAAATTTCATAAGGATCGGCCGACTATATCCCATAGCTGCCATATAACTGAACGATCGGAAATGGTATTTGGTAGATATATCAACTTTCGTATTTTTGAAGATAGAAGCTTAGGATTTTTTTTTCATTTTGTATTGTAATAAATTGGATTATATATTCCTATTCCCATAAGGATCGCCCAACTATATCCGATGTTTGCGATATATATCCGGTTTTAACTGCAAGGGTATATAAACTTCGGCTCCGCCCGAAGTTAGCTTTCCTTTCTTGTTTTTCATTTGTTTAAGAACTTTTGTTAGGAAAGCTATCTTTAAAATAAAAAACACTATTTAAGTGCCCATTCTAACTTTTGAATTAACGAAAAATGAAATAAAAATCTACGTTTTTTCGCTCAGTGAATTCGCTGCTCTCATTGTTTTTCTTTGCTACGCCTGCACTCAAATTTAAAACATGTGTGCGTTTTGCCCCCCTCTTCAATGCAGAAAACTTTTTCCAACCCAATTTCCAACCCAGAAAATTGTTCTCAGTGGAAACATGTTGATTTTTAAGATGTGGCGGTCAAATGAAAGCAAATGAGAGAGCTTCTAAAAAAATTTGAAAGAAACCCCCACACACACAACAGACCCCGCGGCACCACTGCAAAGTATTACTTCGCTGGGTTGCCTTATCTTGGCATTCTCCCTTAAGCGACGTTCATTTTCAAGTTTGCTTAAGTCGTCCTTTATATAAGCTATCAACTGTCTTACCCAGTCCCATTGCTCCTGTGAGCTACATATAAATTTTACAAGCAGCTCCGGAGCTGGTAGTGATCCAATCCTGTCACAATACCTCCTACAATTGTATAAAATGTGTTCTGGGTCCTCGTCTGCTCCTGGGCAGTTGGGGCACTCTGGACTATCATCACGTCCGAATCTGTAGAGGTATTTCCTTTACCCCCCCGTGGCCTGAAAGAAAATGGGTAAGTTGTTAACATACTTGGCCGTTATTTCTTCCGATCTAATCCTGGATGTTGGGGGTTAGCCTGTGTGTCCATCTGCCTTTGGTCGTTGAACCCCACCTCTTCTGCCAAATGGATAATGCCGCTTGTCGGGCTGACCTCTTGATAGCCTCGCGGGATGAGTTTCTTCTCCGTTGTTGAGTGATGCGTAGGTGCGTAGGGATCATTCCGGCTAGAACGAGGGCGGCTTCCTCCGATATTGTTCTGAAACCGGAATAACGCGTAGACCCACTAGTCGGTAGGATGTCCCTAGTTTCTTCCGAAGCCCCTGTTGTTTTCTGGCTAAAGCAGCCCATATCGGCCTGTACGCAGCGTGTTGCTGTAGCAAGACCGACGTGACTACCCTGGGTAGAAGGCGTCTCCTGCCTTCCACATTTGGCATCTTCCTTGAGAGTGCTCCTTGGATCCTGCTGCTCTTATGGTGGCGAATGGTGACCACGTCCACGACATGAAGTTATCCAGCTGGTTATGGACGGTAATGTACTCCACCTTCTTCCCGCTCGTTTTATGAGCTGTCAGGCCCAGTACGAAGTCAGACATCCATGTTGATATTCTTTGTATTGCTTCATTTGCCTTGGTTTCTACGTCCTTGATTTCCTTGGCCACCACAAGCAAGGCCAGGTCGTCCGCGAAGCCGATGAATTGGCATCCCTTCGGTAGTTTGGTCCGTAGTTCTTCGTCGTAGATGATGTTCCAACGAAGCGGTCTTAGAACTGATCCTTGCGGAGCACCCGCAGTCACCTCATAGGTTTTTGATCCTTTGTCCGTGCAGTGTGTCCTGTCTGAAAGCAGTGTCCTGTCTGTAAGGTAGCTTAATATTATTAGTTGCTAGAAGTGCCTGTCAAAAATAAAGTTGGTTGGCGTTGCGGATGTCTTGTGTTACCATCGCACAATACTCCTTTTCGGCCCATTTCCACCGAGTTCCAGCGATGGCTGCTCCCGCAGTTGGTCACGGCTTTGATGGCGTCCACCGTGGAGCGTGCCTTCCGAAAACCGTACTGTCTGACCGAGAGCGTTCCTTTCTTCAGCGAATTTTGAGATGCGAGTAGCGATGGTCATCTCAAAGACTTTCCCCACCGTGTCTAGGCGACAATGAGCCTGTATCCCGATGGGTCGTCTGTCGCCTTGTTTCTTTCGGCAGCCAAATGAGGTTCTGCCTCTTTCACCTTTTTGGAAAAAACGACCGTCCAAGCGAAGACCTTCGGTTTCTCCAGCATGGCCTGCATGAGGACGGAATTGGGCACTCCGTTTAGTCCTGGAGTCTTTCTAGCCTTAATCTTTTTTGTGTAGTTCAGGATCTCCTCATCAGCAACTGGCGTAAACGGCTCCCTATCGTCAGCTGGTATATTCTCCCATTTTGGCGGGTGCTTCGGAAACAGATACTCCATTATTTCGCTTAGTAGGGTAGGGTCAGAAATTGGGTTGGAAAAAGTTTTCTTCGTAGAGAATTGTTATGTATGCGACTGGATTCTCTCGTGCGGCGATCTCGTTCGACTGAAGTCAGTCTTCACTCAATCGTGAGCCACTGCAGATCGAGCTGCAGTCACGGCCATCCATCATTTCCCCGTCATTATAATACCCCCCAGTACTAATTGTTACTCCCATTTTCATTACTGAATTATATTGAATAAATTTAATATATGCTTGCGCATACATAAAATTGGCGACGAGGATGGGATTCTAATCCCCGAGCGTAAGCTAATTAAATTCAACAATTATCGTACAGGGAGAAAGAGAGACGGAATTGACGGTGACGAGTATTTACCGTACGTCCAATTGCGGTAGTCGTATTATTCTTGAAGCAAGCACATGGATAAGCGCCGAGCTTTCGGTCAAGCTGAGAAAAGCTCCGGCGAAGAGGTAAAACAAGAAATAAGTGATAATCAATCAACTCCACGAGGGAGTCTCACTGAGAGCGGCTGTACAGTTGAGCCAAATACTACGGCCAGTACGGATAAGCGGAAAGCGGTTTTCCAAACTTGCGGAGTCGCCATGGCGGGAGTTGGAACTCTGGAACCTTTCGACTTGCTAACCCCTGGGAAATGGAAGGCGTATCGAGATCGTTTCGAGCTGTACCTTTTAGCGAATGGCATCGTGGACAAGGATCGGAAGAAGGCGGCGTTTCTTACACTAGCGGGCGCACCCCTTTATGAGTTACTAGTGTCGTTAGCATCACCCAGGCAAGTCAGTGATTTGGAATTAACAGAAGTCTATGATATATTAACCAGTCACTTGGCACCACGCCAATCGGAGATTGCTGCATTCTACCATTTCCACAAGCGTGATCAGCAACCCGACGAGTCCGTCGGTAACTACATGGCCACATTAAGAAGCCTGGCGGTAGGGTGCAATTTCGGGCAGATGCTGGATCGCATGTTGCGGGACCGATTTGTGTGTGGCATGCGCGACGAACGTCTTCAGCGAAGCCTGCTAGCCGACCCCGAATTGACGGTGCAGCGGGCCATGGAACGAGCCGTCACTAGTGAAGCAGCCGCTGCGAGTGCGTTGTCGATTCGAGGCGACAATATCCGACGCCACGAGTCTTCGAGCACCGAGTCCATCCACGGAATAAGTTCGAGTTGTGCGGGTTGTGGGGGTCGGCACGTCCGTAAGAAGTGCCCGTTCCGCAACACCACTTGCCATTCCTGTGGTCGAACTGGCCACATACGTCGGGTATGCCGCAGTAACAGTCAAGCTGGGTCAACAAAATCGTCATCTCCTACGCCCAGTAATATGCGTAACAACAGGCCATCGCACGGACGCGTTCATCAAATAGTTCCGGTGGTCAGCCCCAAGAAATCTGTGGCCGTGATCATCAACGGTCGATCATGCCAGTTCGAAGTGGATTCCGGGTCGCCCGTCACCATCATGAAGGAGTCTTCGTATCGATACATCTGGCCAAATGGTAATCCCGATCTCGTCAAGTGCCACCTAAAGCTAAGCGACTATCAACGTAACCCCATTCCGGTCAAGGGAATCACCGACACGTCAATCCACTACAACAATCGCCGTATCTGCAATCTGCCATTGGTCGTCACGTCCGGCACCGGGACAAACCTTCTAGGATGCAACTGGTTTGAACCCCTCGGAATCCGCATAGAAGGCATTCATGGCGTGCAGTGCGGCAATGGTATCGCGGAAATTCTAAGAAAATTCGACCATTTGTTTTCATCAGAACTTGGCCGGTATACGGGGCCGCCAGTGGCCCTCAAAGTGGACCAGGAAGTTCCGCCGGTCAGACTACCACCGCGTCGAATTCCTTACGCACTCCTCAAGCCATATGAA